CCCCCCCCCCCAAATTCAAATTCAGATGTAAGAGCCACAAATACATCTCTGAATTACTCAGAATGATAGCTTCCTGTWTAAAAAGAAAAATAGGTTTGTCCTCTACGTTTATCTTTTCCCAGCTATTGCTCCACCCATTTACTCGCAGCCTAATAAGGTCACACCTCTTAAATTAAGGGTAAATTATACCTTATTAAGTTAGGACTAGATGATCTAATCAGACGTGGGAGTTGAGCAGTGAGCTCTGATGTGAAGCCTCTGTTTTACCAAACTGTTTTGCATCAAGGAGTAGTTTAACAACAGTTTGTATGTAGGGTTCTGATTGTTTCCATTAGTGGTAACCTTTCAAACAAATACTTTTCTATTGTCTGTACAAATCTTAAAATATTCAGATCTCTGTCACCAGATTTATTCTACGTTTAGAAATGCAACAGAGAATGTTTTATGCTGAACATGAAATTACAGTAGTTTTGTTCCCTCTGGGTTCATGTAAAAAGTCTACAGAGCTGTAGGTCTGAGCTTGGTGCTGTCTGCTTTCATGGAGAAGAGGAGGGGTTGTCTCTTTATAGCATGCTGAGTTCAAAAACAGCCTTTGGTGGCAAATCTCCTGAGGGGATTCAGCATAGACACAAACGTGGGGCATCCTACGGGAATGATCCTTCTGCAGTGAGCGTCCTGTGTCTTTTTGACCTTTAGGCTGCCATCTGTCATAAAGTCATGAACTTGCAGTGTTTTGTTTTGTAAACACGATTCCTGCTGTGTAGTTTAGAAAATTCACGATTCGGTTCAGTTCAATACTTTAGTCTCACGGTTCGATATTTTTTTGATACAAAAAAGAAAAAATTCCATGCCTTTTTTTTAACTTGTAATTTATTTAAATTATTAAGTACGAACATTCGTTTAACCTCAAAAGTACAGTTTTTAAAGTAAATGTTGCTGAAACAGCAAGTTTCTTAGTGGATCTGCGCTCGACAATACAGCCTAGGTTGAGTAGTTGAACACAGATCCAATGAGCCTTTCTTCAACACAGCATTTTCAGAAGACAAGTTGATAACAATAATTTTAAATATCTGTATTGTTCGATACAAGTGTGTATTGAACCTAAAGCACTGTATTGAACGGCTCGATATGGGTACGTGTATTGTTGCACCCCTAAAATATGTGACCCATCACATCGAAATGAGTTTTAAGTCCAAAAGTGGTGTATGGAGAAATAGGCAAATATAGTGTTTTGACTAAAATGTTAACAAAAATTGCATTTACAGGTAGTCAAAATATAATAAAAGCCTTATCAATGTATCGGTTGAATGAACTGTCTGAAATATAATCATAAAACTAAATTAGGAAGCACTATTTTGAGCAGTAGCAACAAAAAACCTGATTTGGAGGAAAAACGCCTTAAATTTTTTAAGATTTTCCCTGTGAGCTAGCAAAGTGTTGTTGTTGTTTTTTAGCTGGGAAATCTCAATATTCAAATATAATTTGAGGTTTCCTCTTTATAAGGACATCAATAATTCCTCATTAAAATTACATAAAATTAGGATTCAGACCAAATATTTATGTATTATTGTAACCAACAAGACAAATTGAGTCATATATATGGATTTAATTATGATATCAGAATGATCCAGGTATCAAAAATGTAGCTTTTAAAGCCAAGAATCTGAAAATGTAATTAGGTAATTTTGACCAAATTTGACTTCGTCCTCATTTCAATATGATGGGTCACACACGCATGCACATATACAAATAATCAGTTTGAAAACTAAGATTGCATCTCTCATAATCCTCAATTTCTGAGTGTGTTGATTTACCTAAATCTAGTTAAAGCTTTCCTTAGATTGCATTGCAACATTTGTATGTTATTTATTTGCAATTCTTTGATTTTGCAGAACTTTTCTGTGAGCAAAAATTTAAAAAGTTGAAGGAAAAAAAAAATTTGGCGTTTTTTGGCTATTTCTTTTTTTAATTGCTCAACATTTTTTTAAGCTGAAAAATGAACCATGATTCCTTGCAACCATACAAAAGGCTTTACTCTGTTGATGTAGGGTATCTTATTCTAAATGGGCAGGCTTAATTGCATTATTTATATGGTGCTTATTTCATGTTTTGATTATTTTGATCATTAGTGGAAACTCCCCATAGTGTTGAGAGGAGAACTGCGAGCTTCTCTTGGCCCCGCATTAAAGACTTCATCATCTGAATATTGATATGTTATCCTGGAAAGGGTTGCTTGTGTTTGTTTGGTTTGAATATGAGAAGACATAAGATTTGACCTCTCTTTCTTCTTTTAGTTTGAATTCATTGCTTATTTCTGAAAATTCTCATTGTAACAAGAGCTGCAATCACACCAGAGGCAACAGGGTTCGTGTGGGAGGCTATTAATTTGCAATTTCTTCTAATTTTAGAACATTAGTTTTGTATTATTAAGTATGCTGATTCTAAACAGCTCAAAAAACACCAAATAAGCAGAAATGATGTGTTGGTTTTTTCTGCTTAACATCATAATAGAAAGCTAATTCAAACTTTCAGTAAAGCCTAAAAGATTCAAATGCAGGATTCTGTTGTTTAAACATCACTCTCCTTACGTTTTGCAGATAAACTGCTGTGTCTGTTTGAACTTGACACGATCTAAATGTTCGCCGCTTCCTCCGTGTCCGGTGAGGCGCATCAGCACAGTCGTTTGACGGAAATTGCGTCTCTCCTCCAGCCCTACACATGCTGAGATGGTTCCTCTTCTCCAGAAACCTGCTTGCATCGTCGTTTCTTTCGAGGCTAAATAGCCCGCAGTCCGAATTTCTTCTTTAAAGATGGGGCTGCTCTATAGAGGAAGTGTAGGCAATGCATAAACCCAAGACAACAGCAATTATTTATTAGAGACAGCTTTCTGTGGCCGTTTTAGTGCAAATGTTTTCACTGCAATTGATCCCCCCAAAAAAAGAAGGGGAAAAATATCCATTTTATGTGAAAGCTGTGGCTTTTAACCGAACGCACTGCTCGCTTTGTTAGGTCAAGGATTGAGCGAGTGAAGTTATTTTTGCTGCCGTTATTAGATTGCCACTCTGTCAYAGGAGTGTCGAGTGATTGATACTGACTCAGCTTGAATGAAAGATGAGGTGAAGCCATTTCGACCTGCACGCGAGGAGCAAGTATTACCGAGGCAGGTTTAAGAAAAAGGTTCTACAGGGACCGTAAAAAAGTGTCATTTTAAGAAAACTCAGGTGATTTAAAACATTTTAAAACATGTCCTAACCATTAATTTTTAAACAAAAAACAGATAACCCACTTTGAGAACTCTCAAAGTATTCACACTTGATCAACGTTTGGATTTAACCTARTTAAAGATGGCTGCCACCATGTATTGGCCATGGCAAACACAAAACTGGCTATAACTAAGAAAGTTAACTGATTTTTGTATACTTTCTCAATTATACTGTACACACAATATCTGCATGTGTTTGAACATGCACCACATCATGCTACATCACACAGCAGCATGTTTAGTGACCAGAAAATGTATCAGAAGTGTAAATTTAAACATCGCCCTTATGTTGATGATCATAAATAAATGCATTTCTGATTCCACATAAACTACTTAAAGAAATTGAATTCAACAACTGCACCACAGCGGTTAATTAATTTGTTGGTTTGTATCGGAAATGTTTTATTTTTTTAATGGTTACCTGTCAGATTCCTTTTCCCATCTCCTCAGGCCTTTAATTGCACACTTGTTGCTCCTATTTCCTGTGAGGTAGACAACACCATCTGTTCAGCGCAGACACCAGACAAATCAGGATTTCAAAAAGAGAAAAAAAATTCATGAATTTGGTACCGTGGATCTTAAACTTCAGGAAGAAACTTGTTGTGAAACACGAGGCATCTTTTAAATTAGCCTTAAAATATTTTCAACAAAGACACTATATTCAAAGAACCACACGTGTCTGGGTTGTACGCATGTATGTTGATTTTTGTGGTACTTTGGGCTTGTTACGTGGTCAGACAGATGTTTCTGCCTGTGACAGATGTTTCCCAGACTTTTCAAAGGAGACGTTTTACTGAGTTTTGGCCTTGATCATTTTCAGAATATGATTAGATTCTAACATATGGCATCAGTTGTTAAGACAGGTAAAAACAAAGTAGAGAAAATAAGTTTGAGTACATTTTATTTTGTTGTTTATTGCACAGAATATTTATTTTTAAAAAACTGCATATTTGACACAACTAATTAAGAAAATTATAGCAACGCGTTTTCTGTTACACTGGACATTTAAAGGTTGACGGTGGAACAAAGTGCAATACTCTCTGGAAGTTGGACAGTAGCGGCAATACTTATAGTTATRTAAAGTGATAAATGAATGCAGCAAATATAAATATGTCTGAAATGTTTTCTAAGTTTTGTTTTAGTATGAGCAAAACTGTAGTTATATTGTTTATCGAATCCCACAGAGACTTCACAGGAGGTGGAAGATTTCCTGGTTAAAATGGGAACCTCATTTTGGGCTTTTATTTATTTAGTGATTATTGGGTTGCATCCATCAAAGTCCCCCCAGCTCTTAAAGTGACATTTTTAAACAAAACCTTAATAAAAAATCAAGGAGAGCAAAACTTTTGTAATTTATAATCAACCTATTAACTTAGARTAAAGTTTAAATAATAAAAAAAAGTTCAAAAGGAACACCGAATTATAAATGCACTTTTTAAAATGATACATCAGTTAATATTACACCTTTTGTAAATAGCTCTTCGAGCTACCAGGGTTTAAAGAAATAGTTTATTTTTGATTGAACTAAAGACAAAACGGATAGTTAAAATGTAGCAAAGACCAAAGTAGATTAAATAAYGATTGTGTGAGCTATTTAATTTTTGAGAGTAGAGTTTTAATATTGCAGCAGCTCACTTTAGTCTTGGCCCTACTTTGTATTAACCATTAGCATGTAAGAAAAAACATGATCAGTATTGGAAGTCGGAATAAGTTTGCAAAAAAAAAGAGTTGATTCTCTTCTAAAATTCTTTATTCAAAAACCTGAACTCCATTCCAGCTCACAGCTTGTCAGCCAGGCGGGAGCTGTGAGGTTGAGGCCTTGAGTCTTATYAGAAGCAAAACAAAAACAAACCCTCTCAGGAGCAGCTGTTCTAAAAAAGAATAATGATGATCACCATAAAGTCACTTGTACATAAACCTAACTTCCTGGTCACACCCCTGGAGGCGGTCCTTTTTACATCAGACATCGTAATGTAAAACAAACTTTGTTTATCCTGTTAAAGAGGGTCATAATGATAGAAACATACTGACTCTTTCTATGTTTAAAGTAAATGACTGAACATACTGTACAAGACTGGATCTGAAGTTTTCAGTTAATAATACACAAAATTTCTTTCAAGCTCATCAGTTTGAACTGTTTGTCCAAACCGTGGTCACCTAAAGAGCTATCTACATCAGGTAAGATAATAATTGTTCATAACCTTTTCACAGAATGCCACTTTAAAACAGCAGAAATTTTTTTATGTATGTATTTTTAGATACTCCTTTATTGTTGTATTTGAGGAAATAAAACTTGTGACCGTTCCATGTTGGGATATTTGTCTCCAATCAATGACTGAAAATGTTTTATAGTGTGTCTCTCTGCTGGGTTATTGTGAACTACACAAACAAAGCATATTTTTTACGGGCATCTAAGCTGTCCTGTAGCGCCAGTTCCCTTGACAAGTGTTGCTGGAAGCGCCATAAAGCGTCTGAGCCGTCATCCCTCAGCCCTGTTCTCTATTACATATGAACTAGCGGCTAAAGTGACAGGCTTATTTACACCAGGACACATGTAGCCTTGATAAGACCATCGCTCCTGTGCCAAACAATCATGATACACAAACATATCACACTAAAATAAAATAAAAAATGCTTAAAGCTAGCGGAGACAATCCCTGTATCAATTCACCTTCCAATTGGTTTAGATACACTTGTTTAACGGATAAGTGCTATAGACCTTTTTCCTCCTCTGCTGTTCAATTACCCATAAAAACCAGATGCTCGGTCTCAGGAGTAAGATACTGTCACTCTGCTCGCAGCAGTACAAGAAAGATTTAAGGTAAGCACTTTCCCCCGTGATGGAGACCCAGCAGAAGAGTTGTCTTCTGCTGGGTCTCCATCACGGGGGAAAGTGCTCACGTGATGGAGACCCAGCAGAAGAGTTGTCTTCTTTTTAAACACAGAACCATTAAACAGCTCTGACTCACCGCTCTCTGCTTCTTCATCTCCACCCTCAGCCCCCTGCGTTATAATAAATATAGATGAGCTCAGGAACGTATGGGAAACAGTCAACTAAATAACGCCGTTTTGTGAAGATGGTGATATTAAATTAAGTCACAGCTGCGTGGCACATAAACTTCCTCAAGCTTCTAATTACCTCTGAGTGTTTGGATTAATTTTATATTGCAGGGAATTCCTCTGTGAGCTATGCAGCCTAATGTGTTCCTTGATCGCAGCGTGTGGGTTCCCTGTGGTGCTGTTTGGATTTCAGCTGTGATGTTTGTTTCATCACAGAGAAAAGGTTGCAAAAGCAAGTTCAAATTGTTTTATTGAAAAATTTTTCTTTACATCGTTTTACTTATGTGGAAATAAAAATGAACTAGAAGATGATGTTGCCCCATTTGAACTTTTTACCTATCTGTTGCTACAATAACGTTTAGCTAGTTTAGCTTTTAGCTGTTTTTTTTATTACATTTAGCTTTTAGATAACCATTAACTGCTTCATTATAGAATTTTGCAACATTCAGCATTTTGTTTATTTAGCTTTTAAGTCTTTGGCTGCTTTTATCTAAAGTTTTGCTACGTTAGCTTTTACTTAGTGGTTTACTACTTAGGTAACATTAGCTATTTATACTTTTAGCATCTAGCTACCTTGTTGCTACATTTAGCTTTTAGCTAGTGTTTTGCTTCCTTTAGATGGTATTTTGCTGCTCTTAGCTTTTCAGCTTTTTTAGCTCTTAGATCACCTTTTGCTGCTTCTAGCTAACATTTTACTACCTTAGCTTTTAGTTTATGATGTGCTACTTTTATCATTTAGGTAACATTTGCTACTTCTACTTCTAGCTACCTTGTTGCTACACTTAGCTTTTAGCTAGTATTTTGCTACTTTTAGCCAGCATTTTGCTACTGTTAGCTTTTCAGCTTTTTGTACATTTAGCTTTGAGATGACTTTTTGCTGCTTCCATCAAACATTATGCTACTTTTAGCCTCTAGCTACCTTGTTGTTTTAGCTAGTTGTTTGAAATTCTCAGCTAGCATTTTGTGACATTTAAGCAGCTTTAAAAAAACCCAATTTAGCGTTAGCTCGTCTTCTTTTATTGCTAAAAACTCAGTTTTGCCTTTTTCAGAGGACTTTTCCAGTTAGCTGCTTCTGTCTATATTTGAGCTTGCAGATAATCATAGAAGTTTTTGCAATTTGAAACTGATAGCCATAAGGTTTATAAAATGGCGTTTGCATAAACAGCTGTGCAATAATTTGAGATCAGAGTTATTTTAGGACGTCATAATTTTCTTTTGTTCTTTGTCCCACTCAGAATAATAATTAGCTATAAGGCATTGTCAGAATTAAACTTTTTTCTAAAATAATCAACAAAAAGTCACTGTCAAATTAAAGTAAGAAGTAAAATGTTTTTATTTGGTCATTAAAATCCCATCAGAATCACCTCTTCTTTCCCATCATCAGGAACGTGAACGACCACACCTGCACTTTGCCCATCTGCTGAAGCAGCGTTTGTTCTTAATAGGTCACTGTAATTGGCTCAGGAAGTGAGCAGCGCGTCACACTGTTTGGTTTCAGTTACTGGAGTTTTGATAGTAATGGTACCGTTGGCAGCTGTGGACTCAAGGATACTTCTGCTCATCGCCTCTCCACCTCGTGATGCTTTGCTCCACAGGGACAACACTGCTGTGCCAAATGCCCACCTGGGAACTGAGTACTTAATGAAGCACACGTTTTTATTCCTCTCCTGTTTTTTTTTCTGTTGTTTGTAATGCACACATTCTCTTCGTTTCACATCTGGCCTGGCAGCAAAACAAATCTGCTCTGAAACTCGGGGGAGACGGAGAATCGCATCTCGCAAACTGTGTTTCACATGACCAGAGCCACGGAGCTCACATGCATGCAAACTCATGCCTTTTTATTTGCTCTCATGACATTGCAGCCATTAGCTGCCTGGTGGTGGTTTCCACTTGTCAAATGTTATGAGATCTCTCAGAACCCATGGCCAGTTCACCAATTTTTCTACATTACCGAGATGGGTTTACAAGGAGCGATGCAGCTCTCCCTAATGAGTTCTTTCCATCTAACTTTTTCCCCTCCTGTCGCCCTGGATCCATTCATGTCTGGCTCTTATGCAAGCGGCTCTCATGCTGAATAAGGAGGCCATGCAGGCAGAAGAAACGGTTGTTACTTCGATGCGAGGAGAGCATTTAGGCGTTTGTCACTTTACAGGACTRTAGTGGATGATTGACTCTAGTCAGCCTGGCACAACCATTTACCTTCCAAGGGTTTACTCGCACCAGTCGTGGACATCATACAACGCGGGTTTTGACAAATGATTCATATAAACCCACATTTTATTCACAGTATAACATTATAAGTTGTTTTGAAGTCGATGCCAGCAACACATTGAAAAAGTTGCACTGCAAGGTTGTAAAAGTAAATGGTAAAAAAAATAACAGCTGGAGGAGCATTTCGCAACCAATTATCAAAAAGAAAAAAATTGTATAGGTCTTCTGGACAGGTTCTTCTCTAATGAAACGTTTCGTCTCTCCTCCAAGAGACTTCTTCAGTCTGAGACTTTCAGGCAAAATTCAGGCTTTTAAGCCCTGCCTCCATGTGACTGATACTCACATCACATGGCTATCGTTGACACC